AACATTTTTTATAAATATGTTGTATACTTGAAATTTTCCCCTATCTGAGTTTGGCGCTCGACTTTAAGACGGTAGATTCCGATAGCTACGCGATAAGGCAAACTGTCAACGTTACCCACAAAATTAACCAACAGTATGGGTTTACGGGAGTACTTTTTGTCTTTATATGAGAATATTTTTCGATCTTCAGATACCTCTTCAGAAAGAGGAAAGTCAAATCTGGTTGCAGCAACTTCATTGCCTAAATAGTCATTTTTCAAACTCAAGCAATTTTTGACACATAATTCTTTTCAGTAGTATGTTTATTAATAAAAGAAACTGTAAGTTTTTGACAATTGATAAACATCACTTCGCAGAAATGAGTTTCCCATTACGTAACATATTGTTGCGCCCGGGAGTAGTGTGTCGCGAACAACTCATTTAATAACACTAAAATTATAAAACGAAACAATAACTCAAAACTTTATTCGAGAATAGAACTGGAAAGTTCGGTAACACGTCCGAAACGTTCGAGGTCTCGCGCTGTTCTGCCGTTCAAATAGTTCCCGGCGTTGCCGGTTCCTCGATAACAAGCGGAAGCCAGGCCCTCGTTTCCACTCGTTTGCAGGGGCAGCTTCATATCGTTGTGAGACATCTTCACGCTGTCCCGACGCGCGGCATGTTCCGTCCGTCGCAACACTGCCCCCCTCTCTTCAGAGCGGTTGTCACGATCGCAGCGAATTCAAGTCCGTCGCAACAATATGTATATCGTTTAAATTGTGGTCAAATACAAAAGCAAATTATAATATTGGTCGGAAGAACGATTAAATATACATTAGTATTATATCGTATCGTATTAAGTAGTATTTTTACTTCTTGTAGACAAAGAACTTCAAGAAAGAGATGAAGAGATTAAAATATGGCGAACGCGGAGGGAAAGCTCGGGGAGATCGAGGCAATACTTAATAGGTGCAGATATAAAAATAGAATTATTAATCAATAAATTGATGAAAAAATTTAAAAGATTCGAAAGGAATATGTTGTTTTTTATAAATTAACCTTACGTCAATCATCATTTAATCACAATACGCAGTAAAATATCTCCTTACATTATTTTATTTTATTACACTGCTTACATGAATTTTCTGCTCTCAATTCTGGGGTCTTATATTCATGGATATCTCTTGGCGTCGCAGACGAAATCTTCTCCATTCTCCATAATCCAAGAAAAATTGGTCTGAAGACGACACTTTTAGTCGAATGGCTGAATTTTTTATATATGATACGTTTGACCTCCAGAAACAAATGTGCAAAGCCAAAAACTTTTTGAACCAGGGAGTCGTGTAAAAGAACACTCCTCAGGGGTGTTCTTTGCTTATAAGTAAAACGACTGCAGTAAATTATAGATAAAAATTTCATTGTGTATGATTACGACTTCTCTCTATTTCTTCCTTCCTTCTTTCCTTCTTTATTTCTTTAAAACTTCCATGTTGCTTCTCATTTAAAAATGCAAAGATTAACGAGAACGAAAGGGAAATTTATCTTAAATTTTGGGGAAAATACTCGGAATGCAACACAGTTCTTAACGCGTGCTGTTTAAATAAGCCGAAGACAGATGGAATTCAAATTATATGGGATGGGATGAGATACAAGTATAGAACACGAAAAAACGACAATTGATGATGATGATGTTTGGTAATGGAAAACCGGCTTATTTATATAATGAAACTGTGCTACGTAAAGCCAAACAATTAGAAAACGATCGAGTTTAAGGATTACGCAATATTTCTGACACTATTGCATCTATTGCCGAATGGAATCCAAACTCGAGTTTGCCAGTTCTATTAAGAGTATAGGCCTGGATAACTTTTTCGTTCTGTATTAGAGTAACGAAATTTCTCTATAAAAAGTTTACCAACCAAACTGCTATGAAAGGTATTTTGAGCATCGATGCGACTGGTTCATTGATCAAACGCTTTATTAGATCAGACGGTTCATCGAACGCAATATTTTTATATCAAGCTATAGTTCCATTTAATGAAACGGTATTACCTGTATGTCAAGTGCTCTCGAAGAAATATGATGCTAACATACTATCATTCTAACACATATGTTTATACGATAAAGATAATTGTTTCAACGTGCAACAGGGACTAATGAAATTAATTAAGAACGATAAGACGTTGTATGATATTAACGATAACGAAGCAAATATTTTGGACGAAGATGTTACAAATACAACGAACGATGAATGTGGGATGAAAATGATAACCTTCCTTCAGCATGTACGACCTGAATGCCTGCCCAAGAACGCTGATGAAAGGTCTAATCCGTACTGGCGCCCAGAATTTGTTGCTGATTTCTTTAAAATAGCGATACATTTTCCTCTGTGGACAGGAGTAATAGCTAACCATATAGCATCTTCTGCTTACAGTGAAGAATACTACAGGGAGTTAAAACAATTAGTTTTCAAAGGTATCAAATGTGTACATGTTGACAAATACCTTGTTATGTACATCAAATCGCTTGCAGGCGTAATGAAAACTTTACATGCAGCTGATTTGCATTTCATGTCAGAAAAGATTGACGATAGCAATAAGAAAATTGAAACAAGTAAATGTGATATTTCTTACATCGCACAAGACATTATCAAGCTGTCGTAAATACTCATTTTAATTCGAGTAACGGACGTGATTATCTCGCCAATGAGATAAAGATCCATTCGTTGTATGACGATGTAACACATGCGAAATGTAATAATACTTTTGCGCTAAATGATACCGATATATCAGCTCAAGCTGACAACATTACTGAAAATGATGTTAACGTAAATAGTCATCTGAATGAAATAGAAAATTCAAAAGGCGAAAACATCAAGGTGGCCAGTCGTGATAAATACTTAAGTAATTGTCCGGATGTCGAAAGCATTCACCAGAAACCAAAATTTAGGAGAAAGAAACTGTTTTTAAAGAGAATAAAACTGTAATAAGAAGCTATTTATAATGTTGTATTTAATAATTGTACGGATCCTCTACAGATGTTTCTCTCAATCAATGCTCTCAAAATCTAAAGTATTCTAGAGACTCGATTTAAAAAATTATTCATTAAAATGCATATCTGCATGACGCTTCTTACCGTTCCTCAAAAACAGAAATATTTTACATTACATTTTTGCCTTTTAACCTTGCCACTCGCATACTTTCTGAATTTTCATGTTTTCTCCTCCAAGATTTTATCGAGAAACGCCACGAGGCCATGGCCTACTATTTCTTCATATTTTTATTCGGTTTCCAGGCAAAAACAAATCGAACAGGCCTGTATCGTAATGCTTCCCTTTGTCTGTTTCTATTCTAATTTAATCATTCTTGTGAGAGAGCTTGAATGAAAGACGTCTCGAAAGCAGGTTCTTTTATTCCATATACATAGAGCACTTGTCCGCGATCGGTATGCGGGAACCAATTGATCTTGTCGAATTCTCGATCCACGGGAATCGCAGATGTTCCATTTCGTGCAACTTGTTTTCCTTTTCGTCACATCCGATGAAATCGGATCCAGTGTGAGACGAATGTCGTCGAACTGGTGTCGAGTTCTCGAACGAGAAAGAGCCCCTTCTCGGTCATGCTCAAAGCAAATAGCAATTGAAACTATCAAAACGGAATTGCCTTCATATATCGACACGTCCATTTTGGACATCGCATTTGTAATTATTGTCTGGTTTGTACTTGGCGGACTGATAAAATTGATTCCATTAGAAACAAAGCTTTGTTTGCACGAGAAGAAAGTACAGTAGAACCTCGTTTCTGCGAACCGATGCATCATGAATCATACAGGTGAGCCTCTACTGAACTGGGTTGTTCCCTTAACAGTTTGGCTAAGTACGTGAAGTTCTATTGTATCGTAAAACCAATTAAAAACTGAATTAAAAATCCGAGTTAAGCAGAAATCATTCTGTAACTCATCAAACTTCTAAGAATATTTAAAAATTCGTAAGAAAGGACTAGCCCCTTTTTTACCTCCTTGAAGATTGGAGCGAAGTCCCTTCTTATTGAGCTCCTAAATTATGAAGGGAAATTAATTAAAACAATTCCTGCTGCGACAAAAATTTGAAAATCGAAAACAAGAGCATTCTATACACATAAAATGGGAAGTTCTTAGATCCATCAAACATGTTTTGTGCATAAAGATGAACAGATAATTCTCACTTTGATAAATGACTTGCGGCAAGTTCGGCTGTGTGCATTACGCAAAAGGGATTCGTCGATCAATTTAAATCGTTACATAACGATTCGCTGTTGAAGTGCGTGTTTGTTATTCCGTACGTTTAAAAATTGCTATGTGCATCAAACCAGAGATTCCAATTTGTGCGAATCGGGGCAATGATCGCTTGGGGACGGTTACGACGTACCACGAATCGCATAACGAATTCCACGCACGTGAAAAAGTAATCGTGGACCCAATGTGCACCGAAATAGCTTCAATTTCGGGCCGACTAGTAAGTGAAATACAGGGCAAATCCGCGAAATGGCCGTTTGAACCAGCTTTGGCCTAATTACGCGCATAATTATTGAGGCTGATTGGAAGGTGGCCAGTCATCTCCCCTTACGCCGCTGCAGTTCAGCTAATTAATATGGATAAATCACTAGAGAATCGATATTAACCCTTGAAACTGTTCCTGCAATAGAGTCGATTTGTGAACTTTAGAAAGTCATTAAACTATCGAGCGGTCCCGATATTTATCTTCTAGTTCGTATCTGAAGTTTCTGCATAATCCAATTATAACGCGAGTTCATGAAACTATAATCGAAATTCCACGTAATTGTCAATTTACTCGGGTTTGAGTGCTACATGTACAGCTAGTACATACTACATGCGAAGTTAGACGAAGATGGATAATGCCAACTCATCTTCTGTTTTTCTTCTATCCAGGCGCTTTGTAATAAACCTATTCTCTTCTTCGTATTATCTACATGGCAGTATCGTATATTAACGACGATCGCGTACCGCGATAACGCGATTGGGTATAAGCTGCGGAATTAGCGGGTTAGAACCGATCGTGTAGTAACCATAGCGACAGCTGTATCGCGCGTAACGTGTCTTAAGGAGTAAGGATTAATCGGGAGACTAAGGAGTACCCATTTCGATCGGTGCTCCAGCAGAAATTTGTAATGCAAACTAACAATAAGTCTCGAATCTAGGAAATTGAGTTTGGAGCAAAGCTGTGAGATTTTGAGGATTACCACACCAACGGTTTAAACTGTGAAGCTATCGCGACTTCTTGCTCGTATCCTTTGATACACATTGGAAACGTTCCTCTTTCTTCAATCAACTTTTGCTACGTGCAGTTGTGAACAAAAATTTCCAGACGATACCAATTTCTGTATTTCCTGCAATTTCATATATTTCATTTGGAGTTATACAAAAGTCTAATTATATACATCCATAGGGATTTAAATGACCTAAAGTGCCTCAAAAAAGTATGGACGCATATTTCAAAACGGAGAAACTTTTTAATATTGAACCAAGGAATATAATTTTTTGAAGGATGCTTGGAGGCTTAGTTTACTATCTAATGAACAAAAAAATTTGTTAAAAAATTTGACTTTTTTATTGAGGTCTCCAACAAAAATTTGAAATGTCCCGTTTATAAATGTAAGTAAGTTATACATTTACATAAAAATTGGCGGAAGCATAAAAAAGTTAGATACATCGAAACATGTAAAAATTCTTTAATTTATCTCAGTTCTTAGACTGTCTTAGAATGTCAGAAAAAACTGTGATTTTTAAAATTTCTAATTGTTTGTAACTTAGAACGACATTAACTGATTTTGATAAAACTTATGTAACTGACTTAGATCTACGAATGGAATATTTCAAATTTTTATTCGAGACCCCAATAAAAAGGTTAAAAAACGTAACGTTCACTTTTTCCTCCGCGATTCCGACCAATAAGAATTTTTAACAAACTTTTCTTACTCATTACATAGTAAACTTAGCCTTCTACGCTCCCACAACAAATTATGTTGTTTGGTTTAATATTAAAAAGTCATTCCGTTTTAAAAAGTGTACCAATACTTTTTTGAACCACTGTACAAGAATTCACAGAAATTATCTTCATAAAAACATTTATTTTCTTATATTCATATCTTACACTATTCGTCTGAAATAATGCCGGATAAAAGTTTCCGAACGATTTATTAAAATTTAGTTTTACG